GGATTTGGTGTACGATTTCTGCCATTTCCTGCCAGTGTGGAGACCTCCGTCACATGAAGCCAGTGTGGAGACCTAGGTCACAAGAAGCCGGTGTGGAGACCTCGGTCACATGAAGCCAGTGTGGAGACCTCGGTCACATGAAGCCAGTGTAGAGACCTCGGTCACAAGAAGCCGGTGTGGAGACCTCGGTCAAATGAAGCCAGTGTGGAGACCTCGGTCACATGAAGCCAGTGTGGAGACCTCGGTAACATGAAGCCAGTGTGGAGACCTAGGTCACAAGAAGCCGGTGTGGAGACCTCGGTCACATGAAGCCAGTGTGGAGACCTCGGTCACATGAAGCCAATGTAGAGACCTCGGTCACAAGAAGCCGGTGTGGAGACCTCGGTCACATGAAGTCGGTGTGGAGACCTCGGTCACATGAAGCCGGTGTGGAGACCTCGGTCAAATGAAGCCAGTGTGGAGACCTCGGTCACATGAAGCCGGTGTGGAGACCTCGGTCACATGAAACCGGTGTGGAGACCTCGGTCACATGAATCCAGTGTTGAGACCTCGGTCACATGAAGCCAGTGTGGAGACCTCGGTGACATGAAACCAGTGTGGAGACCTCAGTCACAAGAAGCCGGTGTGGAGACTTCGGTCACATGAAGCCAGTGTGGAGACCTCGGTCACATGAAACCAGTGTGGAGACCTCGGTCACAAGAAGCTGGTGTGGAGACCTCGGTCACATGAAGCCAGCGTAGAGACCTCGGTCAAAAGAAGCCAGTGTGGAGACCTCGGTCACAAGAAGACGATGTGGAGACCTCGGTCACAAGAAGACGATGTGGTGACCTCGGTCACATGAAGCGAGTGTGAAGACCTCGGTCACAAGAAGCCGGTGTGGAGACCTCGGTCACATGAAGCCAGTGTGGAGACCTCGGTCAAATGAAGCCAGTGTGGAGACCTCGGTCAAATGAAGAAAGTGTGGAGACCTCGGTCACATGAAGCCAGTGTGGAGAACTCGGTCACATGAAGCCAGTGTAGAGACCTCGGTCACATGAAGCCAGTGTAGAGACCTCGGTCACATGAAGCCGGTGTGGAGACCTCGGTCACATGAAACCAGTGTGGAGACCTCGGTCACATGAAGCCAGTGTAGAGACCTCGGTCACATGAAGCCAGCGTGGAGACCTCGGTCACATGAAACCAGTGTGGAGACCTCTGTCACATGAAGCCAGTGTAGAGACCTCGGTCACATGAAGCCAGTGTGGAGACCTCGGTCACATGAAGCCAGTGTAGAGAAGTCGGTCACTAGAAGCCAGTCTGAAGACCTCGGTCACATGAAGCCAATGTGGAGACCTCGGTCACATGAAGCCAATATGGAGACCTTAGTCATATGAAGCCAATGTGGAGACCTCGGTCACATGAAGCCAGTGTAGAGAAGTCGGCCACAAGAAGCCAGTCTGGAGACCTCGGTCACATGAAGCCAGTGTGGAGACCTCGGTCACATGAAGCCAGTGTGGAGACCTCGGTCACATGAAGCCAGTGTGGAGACCTCGGTCACATGAAGCCAGTGTGGAGACCTCGGTCACATGAAGCCAGTGTGGAGACCTCGGTCACATGAAGCCAGTGTGGAGACCTCGGTCACATGAAGCCAGTGTGGAGACCTCGGTCACACGCCGGTTCATTATATTACTAAAACTCGCGTCAGTAGACGTTTTCATTTCTTAAGAGAATCCCTCCTTAGATGCGCTTATTTTCAAAAATAAAGGGGTGGGGGGGAAGACAACGTTAATTATTCCACGTTTAGTTGATAAGCTTTAAACTCAACTACATACAAGTATTGTTAGCAAGATTACATTACCCAATAAAGAAGTGATGATGCATTGCTTGGAGCTGCGTGAGTGTGTTTACCTTGACCATGAACAAGTTCGACCGTCGCCTCAAGTCCAGGATCTCTCCTGTTTATCCTCCTTCACAAACTGCTGTGTTTTTTTTTCTTGCTTCTTGATGTCGCTGTCTGCCGGAGTCATCTGCTACGTCATTTTCAAACAATATTGGTGACATTGAGTTTATTTACACACCTCGAGGTTGTTTACAATTCTCAGCTCACTGCAGGTTACTCACACCCGATATTTTCTACACTTCTTGTTTTGGTAAGAATTCATGTTTTAATTTGTTTAAAGAAATAGTTTTAACACAGAAGGTTTTATTGTTCCTTAACTCGTTTCAAGGCCCTGCGATGTTTTATTTATGTATGTATTATGGATATATTTATCTATTACAGTGTATCTATTGCAGTAAAAAAGGACTTTCGTCAGCAGTTGCTGACTTTACGTCCTGGTGGTGTTTAGCCCCTACAAGCTTAGCGCTTCCCAATGAGTAACATAATTTTTAAGAAATATTTAAAGTGAATTATTGTCATGCTGTGGAAAATTAAACTTCTTTTTAATATGCTGCTGCTGCTGCTGCTGCTGCTGCTGCTGCTGCTGCTGTTGCTGCTGCTGCTGCTGCTGCTGTTGTTGCTGCTGCTGCTGCTGCTGCTGCTGCTGCTGCTGCTGCTGCTGCTGCTGCTGCTGCTGCTGCTGCTGTTGTTGCTGCTGTTGCTGCTGCTGCTGCTGCTGCTGCTGCTGCTGCTGCTGCTGCTGCTGCTGCTGTTGTGCTGCTGCTGTGCTGCTGCTTGCTGCGTGCTGCTGCTGCTGCTGCTGCTGCTTGCTGTGCTGCTGCTGCTGTTGCTGCTGGCTGCTGCTGACTGTGTGCTGTGCTGCTGCGTGTTGCTGCTGCTGCTGCTGCTGCTGGCTGCGCTGCTGCTGTTGCTGCTGCTGCTGCGGCTGCCTTGCTTGCTGCTGCTGCTGCTGCTGCTCTGCTGCTGCTGCTGCTGCTGCTGCTGCTGCTGCTGGGTGCTGCTGGGTGCTGCTGCTGCTGCTTGCTTGCCTGCTGCTGCGCTGCTGCTGCTGCTGCTGCTGATGCTTGCTGCTGCGCTGCTGCTGCTTGCTGCTGCTGTGCTGCTAGCTGCTGCTGGCTCTCTGCTGCTGCTGTTGCTGCTTGCTGCTGGCTGCTGCAGCTGCTGCTGCTGCTGCTGCTGCTGCTGCTGCTGCTGTGTTGCTGCTGTGCTGCTGCTGCTGTTGCTGCTGCTGCTGCTGCGCTGCTGCTGCTGGCTGCTGCTGCTGCTGTGCTGCTGCTGCTTGCTGCTGCTGCTGCTGTTCTGCTGCTGCGCTGCTGCTGCTGCGCTGCTGCTGCTGCTGCTGCTGCTGCTGCTGTTGCTGCTGCTGCTGCTGCTGCTGTGCTGCTGTGCTGCCTGCTTGCTGTCTGCTGCTGTTGCTGCTGCTGCTGTGCTCTGCTGCTGCTGCTGCTTGCTGCTGCTGTTGCTGCTGCTGCTGCTGCTGCTGCTGCTGCTGCTTGCTGCTGCTGCTGCTGTGCTGTGCTGCTGCTGCTGCTGTGCTGCTGTCTGCTGCTTGCTGTCTGCTGCTGCTGCTGCTGCTGCATGTTTGCTGTTGCAGGCTGCTGCTGCTGTTGCTGCTGCTGCTGCAGCTGCTGCTGCTGGCTGCTGGCTGTGCTGCTGCTGCTGTTGCTGCTGCTGCTGCTGTGCTGCTGCTTGCTGCTGCTGTTGCTGCATGCTGGCTGCTGCTGCTGCTGCTGCTGCTGCTGCTGCTGTGTTTTGCTGCTGCTGCTGCTTGCTGCTGCTGCTGCTGCTGCTGCTGTGCTGCTGCTGCTGTTGCTGCTGTGCTGCTGTTGCTGCTGCTGTGCTGCTGCTGCTGCTGCTGCTGCTGTTGCTGCTGCTGCTGTGCTGCTGCTGCTGCTGCTGCTGCTGCTGCTGCTGCTGCTGCTGCTGCTGCTGCTGCTGCTGCTGCTGCTGGCTGCTGCTGTGCTGTCTGCTGCTGCTGCTGCTGCTGCTGCTGCTGCTGCTGCTGCTGCTGCTGCTTGCTGCTGCTGCTGCTGCTGTGCTGCTGCTGCTGCGTGCTGCTGTGCTGCTGCTGCTGTGCTGCTGCGCTGTTGCTGCTGCTGGCTGTGCTGCTTGCTGCTGCTGCTGCTGCTGTGCTGTGCTGCTGCTGCTGCTGCTGCTGCTGCTGCTGTTGCTTGCTGCTGCTGCTGCTGCTGCTGCTGTGCTGCTGCTGCTGCTGTGCTGTGCTGCTGCTGCTGCTGCTGCTGCTGCTGCTGTTGCTGCTGCTGCTGCTGCTGCTGCTGCTGCTGCTGCTGCTGCTTGCTGCTGCTGCTGCTGCTGCTGCTGCTGCTGCTGTGCTGCTGCTGCTGCTGCTGCTGCTGCTTGCTGTGCTGCTGTGCTGCTGCTGCTGCTGCTGCTGCTGCTGTGCTGCTGCTGCTGCTGCTGCTGCTGCTGCTGCTGTTGCTGCTGTTTGCTGTGCTGCTGCTGCTGCTGCTGCTGCTGCTGTGCTGCTGCTGCTGCTGCTGCTGCTGTGCTGTGCTGTGCTGCTGCTGCTGCTGTGCTGCTGCTGCTGCTGCTGCTGTGCTGCATGCTGCTGCTGCTGCTGTCTGTTGCTGTGCTTGCTGTGCTGCTGCTGCTGCTGCTGCTGCTGCTGCTGCTGCTGCTGCTGCTGTGCTGTGTGCTGCTGTGCTGTGCGCTGCTGGCTGTTGCTGCTGCTGCTGCTGCTGCGTGTTGCTGCTGCTGCTGCTGCTGCTGCTGCTGCTGCTGCTGCTGCTGCTGCTGCTGCTGCTGCTGTGCTGCTGCTGCTGCTGCTGCGCTGCTTGCTGGCTGTTGTGCTGCTGCTGCTGTGCTGCTGCTGCTGCTGCTGCTGCTGCTGCTGCTGCTGCTGCTTTTGCTGCTGTGCTGAGCTGCTGCTGTGCTGCTGCTGGCTGTGCTGCTGCTGCTGCTTGCTGCTGGCTGCTGCTTGTGCTGCTGCTTGCTGCTGCTGCTGCTGCTGCTGCTGTCTGCTGCTGCTGCTGCTTGCTGTGCTGCTGCTGCTGCTGCTGCTGCTGCTGTTGCTGCTGCTTGCTGCTGCTGCTGCTGCTGTCTGCTCTGTGCTGCTGCTGCTTTTGCTGCGCTGCTGCTGCTGCTGCTGCTGTGCTTGCTGCTGCTGCAGCTGCTGCTGCTGCTGCTGCTGCTGTGCTGCTTGTTGCTGCTGCTGCTGCTGCTGCTGCTGCTGCTGCTGCATGTGCTGCTGCTGCTGCTGCTGCTGCTGTGCTGCTGCTGCTGCTGCTGCTGCTGCTGCTGCTGCTGTGCTGCTTGCTGCTGCTGTGCTGTGCTTGGCTGTGCTGCTGCTGCTGCTGTGTGCTGCTGCTGCTGCTGCTGCTGCGCTGCTGCTGCTGCTGCTGCTGCTGCTGCTGTTGCTGCTGCTGTGTGCTGCTGCTGCTGCTGCTGCTGCTTGCTGCTGCTGCTGTGCGTGGCTGCTGTGCTGTTGCTGCTGTCTGCTGCTGCTGCTGCTTGTGCTGCTGCTGCTGCATGCTGCTGCTGCTGCTGCTGCTGCTGCTGCTGCTGCTTGCTGCTGCTGCGTTGCTGCTGCTGCTGCTGCTGCTGCTGCTTGCTGCTGCTGCTGCTGCTGCTGCTGCTGCTGCTGCTGTGCTGCTGCGTGTGCTTGCTGCTGCTGTTCTGCTGCTTGCTGCTGCTGCGTCTGCTGCTGTGCTGCTGCTGCTGCTGGCTGCTGCTGCTGCTGCGCTGCTGCTGCTGCTGGCTGTGCTGTTGCTTGCTGCTGCTGTTGCTGCTGCTGTGTGCTGCTGCTGCTGCTGCTGCTGCTGTGTGCTGCTGCTGCTTGTGTGCTGCTGCTGTTTGCTGCTGCTGTGCTGCTGCTGCTGCTGCTGCTGCTTCTGCTGGCTGCTGCTGCTGCTGTGCTGCTGTTGCTGCTGCTGCTGCTGTTGCGCTGCTGCTGGCTGCTGCTGAGCTCTGGCTGTGCTGCTGCTGTGCTGCTGCTGCTGTGCTGCTGTGCTGGCCTGCTGCTGTGCTGGCTGTGTGTGCTGCTGCTGCTTGTGCTGTGCTGCTGCTGCTGCTGCTGCTGCTGTGCTGCTGCTGCTGTGCTGCTGCTGCTGTACTGCTGCTCTGCTGTGCTGCTGCGTTGCGCTGCTGCTGCTGTGCTGCTGCTGCTGCTGCTTGCTGCTGCTTGCTGCTGCTGCTGCTGCTGCTGCTGCTGCTGCTGCTGCTGCTGCTGCGCTGCTGCTGTGGCTGCTGTGCTGCTGCTGCTGTTGCCTGCTGTGCTGCTGCTGTACTGCTGGCTGCTGCTGTCTGCTTGCTGCTGCTGCGCTGCTGCTGCTGCTTGCTTGCTGTGCTGCTGTGCTGCTGCTGCTTGCTGCTGCTGCTGCTGTGCTGCGTTGCTGCTGCTGCTGCTGCTGGCTGCTGCTGCTGCTGCTGCTGTTGTGCTGCTGCTGCTGCTGCTGCTGCTGCTGCTGCTGCAGCTGCTGCTGGATGCTGCTGTTGCTGCTGCTTGCTGCTGCTGCTGCTGTGCTGCTGCTGCGCTGCTGTTGCTGCTGCTGCTGTCTGTGCTGCTGCTGCTGCTGCTGCTAGCTGCTTGCTGCTGCTGCTGCTGCTGCTGTGCTGCTGCTGCTGCTGCTGCTGTGTGCTGCTGCTGCTGTTGCTGCTGCTGCTGTGCTGTGCTGCTGCTGTTGCTGCTGCTGCTGCTGCTGCTGCTGCTGCTGCTGCTGCTGCTGCGCTTGCTGCTGCTGTGCTGCTGCTGTGCTGCTGTGCACTGCGTGATGATTAATGAACAGCAACACCATGTCTACTACTAATAATAATAAAATAATAATTAATAATAATAATAATATAATATATAATAATTTCTTCAATAGTTTCGTACAGTAAAGGTGAGTACTTCCACTTCAGAATATCATGCTATTCTCCTAGTCAGCGTGCGCATTTGCTGACAATCAAAGCCCGGGTTCAATCTGGGCTGGGTGACCTTTCGATAAGTCTTCTAAATCTCTGCATCTCTTGACCTGCAGTAATTACGTTCATAGGATTTAGTGACTGTTGTGCTGCTGCATGCCTTGAGAGACGCTGAATGCAAGTGTCTGCCATTTTAGCTGTGACACTACTGAGTCTCCATGGTAGCTTGACACTCTGAACGTCTCCCGGTTCGTTTGCCTGCTGAGTCTCCGGTTGTTTGCACTACTGAGCTCTGCTGCACTCTGAGTTCCGGTGTTTGCTACTGAGTCTCCCTTTGCTGACACTGCTGAAGTCTCCAGTGTTGTTTGACTGCTGCTGCTGCTGTTGCTTGCCCTACTGAAGTCTCCCAGTTAGCTTGAACTGCTGAGTCTCCCCTTTGCTTGCCTGCTGAAGTGTCATTGTGTATGACATATGAAGTACAACGACAATACTAATCTCCATTACTGACTACTACTAATCTCCATATAGCATTCACTACTAAGTCATAATTAATACACTAATAATATTATTAATACTAATCTATTAATAATTATCTCAATAGTTTGCGTACAGTGAAGGAGGTACTTCCACTTCCCAGTAGCTACAATACTGATTCTCCTGGGTTTCACCATAAGCGCATTTTAGTTTGACAATCTGAAGTTCCCGGTTAATCTTGGCAACCCTTTTACAAAGTTAGTTTACCTGCACTCTGACCTTCCCATTTTACTAGAACTTTAGTTGAGTTTAGCTTGGACATCTTGAGAGAGACTTGAACATGTCTCCCATTTTAGCTTGACACTACTGAAGTCTCCCAGTTTAGCTTGACACTACTGAAGTCTCCCAGGTTAGCTTGACACTACTGAAGTCTCCCAGTTTAGCTTGACACTACTGAAGTCTCCCAGTTTAGCTTGACACTACTGAAGTCTCCCATTTTAGCTTGACACTAACTGAAAAGGGTCTCCCATTTTGGGCTTGATACTACTAAAGTCTCCCAGTTTTGGGCTGACACTACTGAGTTTCCCAGTTTAGGCTGATACACTGAAGTCTCCCAGTTTGGGCTGACACTACTAAAGTCTCCCAGTTTAGCGACTATACCGACTAGTCTCCCAGTTTAGGCTGATACTACTGAGGTCTCCCAGTTTAGGCTGATACTACTGAGGTCTCCCAGTTTAGGCTGATACTACTGAGGTCTCCCAGTTTAGGCTGACATCACTGAGGTCTCCCAGTTTAGGCTGATACTACTGAGGTCTCCCAGTTTAGGCTGACACACTTCAACAGTCACATTGATGGAATGACTGGAAACTTAATTAGCTTTCGTTGTGACTGTGTAACCATTATTTACAACAAAGCAGCAGCACACTGCTGATGTATCCAAATTTGATGAAAGACACGAGGAAAAAATACAGTAATTGAAGCAGGAAACTCTCAGTCGGTCCACGAGCTGCACCTTAATATTTAAAATTTACTGTAGGTTTTAGATAAAATAAATATATCCTAAACCACTATAGAAAATTGCCAATTAAAATATACAATTTAGTTCTAAAATTTTATAAGGATCTGAATAATTTTTCAGCTTGATAGATATCTTAGTGCCCCAGAAATTTTGAGAAAAAAAAAATTCACATTGTACCCTACGAGGCCTACTTAAATTTTAGTCCTTCCTATAAGACAAACCAATGATAAAATTTTGATGCTGGCCAAAAGAGGCATTCTCAAGTTCTTGTTCGGAATCCAAGGATTACAAGTTTTAATATGTTAGTACACTGGTAAATCTGTTTATTTGAGAATAGTCAGTATATTTCACGAAATAAAATGCCACACTATTTAAAAAAAATCAAATGTTCTTTTAAGTTACTACTACTACTACTACTACTACTACTACTACTACTACTACTACTACTACTACTACTACTACTACTTAAAAAAAAAAAAAAAAATATAATTAAATAATAATAATAATAATAATAATAATAATAATAATAATAATAATAATAGTATTATATTTTGGCATGATACATGTTTGTACAAAGGAATGTAATTCTTGGGTGTACACAGATGACAGCCAAGAAATAAGTGAGATACTAAAGTCCCAATATGACTCAGTGTTCAGCGAGCCACTGCCCAGACTAAGGGTCGACAACCCAAATGAATTCTTTATGAACGAAGCCCAAAATTTGGACATCTCAAAACTCTCGGATATTATCCTAACTCCACAAGACTTTGAAGAAGCAAAAAATGACTTACCCATGTACTCTGCCACAGGCCCAGACTCATGGAACTCCGTGTTCATCATGAACTGCAAGAAGCCCCTATTGCTTGCCTTCTGTATTTTATGGTGAGGGAGCATGGACACAGGGGTCATCCCACACACGCTTAAAACAACAGACATAGCCCCACTCCACAAAGGTGGCAGTAAAGCAATTGCAAAGAACTACAGACCGATAGCACTTACATCCCATATCATAAAAATCTTTGAGAGGGTTCTAAGAAGCAAGATCGCCAACCACCTAGATACCCATCAGTTACACAACCCAGGGCAACACGGGTTTAGAGCAGGTCACTCCTGCCTGTCCCAGCAACTGGACCACTTTGACAAGGTCCTGGATGCTGTAGAGGATAAACAAACTACAGATGTAGTATACACAGACTTTGCAAAAGCTTTCGACAAGTGTGACCATGGTGTAATAGCACACAAAATGCGTGATAAAGGAATAACAGGAAAAGTTGGTAGATGAATCTATAACTTCCTGACAAATAGAACACAAAGAGTAATAGTAAACAGAGTAAAGTCCCAGGCAGCCACGGTAAAAGCTCTGTTTTACAAGGCACAGTACTCGCTCCCATTCTATTCCTCATTCTCATTTCTTCCTTTGCGGATGACACCCGGATTACCATGGCAGTGATCTCCATCGAGGACACCGCGAGACTCCAAGCGGACATCAACCAAATCTTCGAATGGACCACTCAAAACAATTTGAAGTTCAACGAGGAGAAATTTCAACTACTCAGATATGGGAAACTTGAGGAAATTAAAAATGTATCAGAGTATACAACAAATTCTAACCATATAATTGACCGGAAAAAGTAATGTGAAGGACCTGGGAGTGATAATGTCAGAGAATCTCGCCTTCAAAGACCACAACAGTGTATCTACCTCATCTGCTAGGAAAATGGTAGAATAGATAATGAGAACCTTCAAAACTAGGGACGCCATGCCCACGATTCTCTTCAAATCGCTTGTGCTCTCTAGGCTGGAATACTGCTGTACACTAACGGCCCCCTTCAAGGCTGGCGACATTGCAGACCTGGAGAGTGTACAAAGAACTTTCAAGGCACATATAAGCACGATAAGGCACCTAAATTACTGGGAACGGTTGAAGGTCCTTGATCTGTATTTCCTGGAATGCAGGTGAGAGAGATAAATGATAATATACACTTGGAAGGTCCTGGAGGGATTGGTACCAAACCTGCACACGAAAATCACTCCCAATGAAAGGAAAAGACTCAGGCAGGAGATGCAACATTCCCCCAATGAAAAGCAGGGGCGCCACGAGTACATTGAGAGACAACACAATCAGTGTCCGGGGTCCAAGACTGTTCTACTGCCTCCCAGCCTACATAACGGGGATTACCAATAGACCCCTGGCTGTCTTTAAGAAGGCACTGGACAGGCACCTAAAGTCAGTACCTGCCACCCGGGCTGTGGTTTGTACGTCAGCTTGCGTGCGGCCAGTAGTAACAGCCTGGTTGATCAGACCCTTATCCACCGTGAAGCCTGGTCTCAGACCGAGCCGCGGGGGCGTTGATCCCCGAAACCCTCTCCAGATAAACTCCAGGTGCATGCCAAAAGCCCCTTTGTATGCCAAGCATGTCTGGCGAACATAAAACTAACTTAAGATTAATATGGCAATAACAGTATATATGGTCATTAGGTGAGTTACAATAAATACAAGAGAACTGAATATTCTATTATGTCAACCTATATGATTTAATAAGTTTTGTAGGGAAGAATTACGATTTTGATTATTAACCTTAAGTGAACACAATGGAGTGATTAACATTTGAGATAATACAGATACTGAGAGTAAATATATATTGATTATAATGTTTTACCTATGTTTATGATGTTTAGCAAATGTGTGTATAGTTTTTACATATGTATTTATGATGGACTGGGATAGGTTAAGGAGAAAGGTCTTTTTTAACTGTAGTTTTAAAAATGCTAAGTCAGTGGTTTTGGAGATTTCTGGCAGAGTTCCAGATTTTGGAAAAGATTTAACCTGACACGGGGAATATCATAGAGGTTTTTGTGCCTAGTGTTGTGTCTATGAATCCTATTACAACTGTCAAGAAAGCGTTTCAGGTCGGGATTTATATTAGAATTGATTGTTGTGTAAATGTAGGTTGTACAATAGTGTGAGTTAATGTTTTGTATAGTGAACAGGTTTATGTCTCTGAAGAGTAGGGGGGGAGGTTGTCTAGCAGTGGATTGTGTGATCACTCGCACTGCAGCTTTTTGTTGGGTTATTACTGATTTTAGGTAGTTTTTCATTGTGGATCCTCAGCCACAAATAACAGAGGTGAGGTAGGGGTAGATCAGTGTATAGTATAGTGTAAGTAGTGCTGTTTGTGGTACATAGTAACGTATCTTTGAGAGGCTGCCAACTGTTTTAGTCTTTTTCAGTTATGTGCTGGATATGGGTGTTGAATTTCAGGTTATTGTCAAGGTGCAGACCCAGGAATTTACCTTTATTATGTTTAGCAATAAGAAAGTTGTTCAGCATAATGTTTAGTTGGTCCTCACTTACTCTACTCTCAAACATAATGTAAAAGGCTTTTCTCTATATTAAGTGAAGTTTATTCACAGTCATCCAGGTTTCTATTTTTGCGAGTTCTTCATTAACAATAGTGTTGAGTGAGGCTGGTTTTGGGTGGGAGATTACGAAAGTCGTGTCGTCAGCACAGAGAATAGGCGTATGTTGTTGTGATACGCTTGAAAGATCGTTAGTAAGTCTATTCATGTATATGCAAATACAAATACATAGATTATCATACATAGCAGCATATGTGTAGAGAACCTAGGATAACCCGAAAAAAGTCAGTGACTTTTGTCCGGCGTTGACGCCCGGAACTCTTTCCAGGTATACTCCAGG